GGGGATAAGTGGAAAGAGGGGCCTCAATTTCAACGAGCATAGCTAAGTACATGCGTAAATCCTCGGCTTCTTGTATCGTATCAACGTCCGTGTCTATAAGATTCGCGTCGCGCATAGCGAGCCAGGTTCCGTAATGAGGACAGTCCCGGGCGAAATGTTTGGAGCTGACACAGATGTAGCAATTGCCCGGAGGGGGGCGTTCACTGGCCACATCGTCTCGTTTCACGAAGGCATGGCCCTTGATGGTTTTCCCTTCGGGCCAACGCGGCTGCGAGGAGGACGCCTTCGATTTGCCGCCCGTTCGGTTGTTGTTGTTTCTGCGAGCAAATCCGTCCGCGGCAAAGGCCTCCTTGTCGTTTTCCTTGTCGACGGGGGAGGAGGTTTGGTTATGATGATAATCGTCCTCGTCCTCGACCTCCTCGACAGTGACTTGATGGGCGCGTCGCTCTTGTCGGTCATGGCGGTCTTTACGATGGACGTAGTGGTCCAGATCGCCCATCTTAACCGCCGACTTCCATTTCGTCATCAGGACGGGGCAGTACCTCGATATGGCGGCTTCCAGCTCGAAGATGGTGGGGAATTTCGAACTATCGACGGTATCCATCCACACGTCGGGAGCGGCGCTGAGAAGACGGGTGACGACCATGGGACCATCTATCTCGTCGGGGTAAAGGAATTTGTGATAGAGGATGCGACGTTGAATGAAATCCATCGGCATTTCGGATTCGCGTCCTTGCTGGCGGAAACGCATCTTGTCCCATTCGAGAGATCGTTTCGAGACCCAGACCTCATTGAGGAATTGGACCGAAAGGGCTTTGAAAAGCAGGTCCCAACTCTGGCTGGAATCATTGCGGAAATCGATGGACTGGGTGATCCACCAGGACTGAGCGCGATCGGTCCACTTCATGGGCGCGATAGCGCCCAAATCGCGAACCATTTGAGGCGAAAGGCGAATGAGCTCCGCGATCTGGCAGAGGTAGGTGATCACCGTCTTTCCGTGACCGTCCCAGGAAGGCACAAGCGAAAGATTGAGCTTGCGATTAATCTGCCATTCTTGGGGGCCCCAGTTGCCGTTGCCGTCGGAGGGAGGTCCGCCACCACCGGGTGCGCCTCCACCTCCGCCACCGTTTCCACCGCCTCCGTTAGGAGGTCCACCATCACCAGGGGCGCCTCCACTTCCGTCGTTCCCGGAGGGAGGTCCTCCGCCATTCGGCGAGCCTCCACCTCCTCCGCCATTCCCATTTCCGACACCCCCTACGCCGTTAGAATCCGGCGCGGGGGCAGTAGGTCCGCCGCCAGGAGCGCCACCGTTGCCAGCACCTGAACCGCCGCCAGGCGACGCCTTGAATTCGTAAGACGTCCAATGCTGATTGGGCGGTCCCGGTTTAGCAGCAGCTTGCTGAAGAATAGCTGATAGCGCAGCGGCCGGAACGTCGGTTCGATTCTTTGCAACGGCGCGAGCAGCAGCGAACTCCGAGATGCTGGTTCCCGGCTGGAACTGCACCTGTTTGAGGATAGGTGCCGCCTGGAGATCGGTCACGGTGGGGACCCTGCCGATGCCCGGCATATAGCTGACCGAGCCCATTGGCGCCGTGGAAAGCGAGGGAGGAATATTGGTGAAGCGCGGAGCGGGTTTATTCGTGACAGAGGGGGCCACTCCGACAACCTGAGGCACCGTCGTCGTCTGGACGATGACTGGGGTTGTAGAACGAGCGGATCGAGCGGGGGACGCGGGGAGCGCGGTGAGAAGCGGGCCCTTCTTGTGCGAGCCCTTCCGGTAGAAAAGAGTACGAGACTCTAATCCTGCTGCCTCGATGAGCCTCGCCTTCGCGCTCGAATCGATGGTGTCGGCAACACGTCCATAATCCGGACGAGCCAGAAGTTTGGCCAATTCGGCTTGGGGCTCGTCACGTCCGAAGTCGGTGCGCACGGAGCTGCGGGTGGAATCGACTGAGGAGAGACTATCGAATCCGCCCTGACCGTACAGCACGCGCACAGAGTGCAGATACTTGCGTATGTGCTTGGACGACTTCTCGAGGCGGAGTTGAAGCGTTGCGAACGCCATGAGGATGTCGGTGCGGCTGACGTTAGACTCCATAAGACGAAGGAGTTGCCAGTTCGGGTCGAGCGAGAAGCGGTTCCGCTGAGTGTCGCCAGCGAACTCCGCCAACCCATCGAGAATCTGTTTGGCGGCGAGGACGAGTTGAGCAAACTCGTCCAACCTCTGAGAACCCAAGGAGTAAGTGGAGCCCCGTTCCGCCGTGTACACGATCAAGTCGCGTTTCGTCGGCTTCTCCTGGCAGAATTTGTTGATGCCCTCCTCCAGCTGCACCCAATTGAAATTGATGTGGGGCAGTTCCCAACGCATCACGACGTCGCGGAGGACGATACTCTCTTCCGAGGTCTTGCCCAAAAGGCGACCATCGATGGCCCCGTAGTTCGTCAGAGGGTCGTGGTCGCGCGCGGGATCGAAGATGGGATGGTACTTTAGGAGAGAAGCGCCGATCGGTTCATCGAACAAAGGCAATCCTGCACAGAGGGAGACGAAGATGCGCGGATCCGTGTACGGCCGAAGGAGGCGAGACACGCTATCGGTCTCGAGCACTCCTTTTCCAGCAAGGATGGGAGTAGAGCCGGCGGAGGAGCGAGGCGGGGTGCGGGGTCCACTGATTCCACTGTACACTGTGGAGGAAGGATTCGCAAGGGAGGCGAGCGAAGGCGTCACGGAAGCGCTCGCCGCGTAGGATGCGGGAGCGTGACTAGCAGGAGGCGTGGGCTCAGCGTCCGTATCTTCTTCCGACTCAGAGGAGTCGGCCACGCTCTGGAGGTCGGGCATCGCGGGGTCTTCGTCGTCCTCGGGCGGCGGTTGAGGAGTTGGCGAGACGGCGGGAAGAGCAACTGCTTTACCCTTTCCAACGACGGTTTTCGCGCCCGTCTTATTCTTCTTCTTGGGGACCCCGGCGGGAGTACTTCCGGCGCCGCTGATTGCAGCGCTGGGTTTCTCAACCACCGTCCTGGGTTTGCGAGGCCGAAGCACCGAGGGAGCGCCGGCACCGGGGCTAGGGGTAGCCAGAGAAGAGGGAGGAGGACCGACTGCTTCGCCGCGGGCGACGGCGACAGCGACCTGACCGCGAGTCTTGGGCTCTAGAGCGGCGTCCGAGGTAGCGGAGGGAGCGGAAGCTCGACCTTGCTTAGGGGGGTATGCCATGCTTTGCGATTGTAGGAGGAATTCCTGGTGACTGGGTTTATATACCAGAGAATTGGATATGTTGCGGCACATCGATGATCGTTCCGCATGGAACGATCGATCGAACAGGGAATGAAACAGCAGCCGTCTCCGCTCGGGCGGGAGGACTCGTCTGCGAGGGCGTCGAAAGGTTCGAAGCTCGAGATGAAGTCCTCGCGACGGGCTGCGTTGTTGGTTTTGAAGTAAAAGGTGAGTTTGTCGACGTTACTGTTCGTTTGAAAGGCGTCGAGTAGCGGAATTCAGGCACCAAGGGAAGGGTGATAATTCAAATTGCTATCCGCTGACTCAAGGTGATCAGCGGAGTCGACGAGTTTCAGATACGAGTTTCCATGCACGACGTTGCACAACGAGTAGAGGAGGGAGTAATCCAAGGAGACAGAGGACGAGGCCGGCTCGTCCGTCCCATGTCTATGTCGTAGTACGATAGTCGAGTAGAGTAGCGTCGAAAGGCATTAGGTCTCCATCGACTTGATGAAGACCCCTGTGCGTCCACCACTGTGAAGCGGGCGAGCTTCAGCACAAGGGATCTTCTCGTCGAAGGAGACCTAAGTGGACGCGCCGCGAGCGCGTCCAACAATCCGAAGGATCGAGCCTGAGAGGCGAGCTCACGCAATCGGAGCTCGAGCCTGTCACCCAAGCTAAGGGGCCTGTTACCCTAGACAGGGCTCCTGTTACCTGGAGAGGTGAGCAGAGATTGGGTGCTCAGCCGGAGCGAGGATCCGTGGTTGCACGGTTCACTCGAGCTCCTCGTCGGGACGCTAGATGAACATGGAAGTTGGGTGCAAAGTAAGATAAGATTATGTAATCTACTTTAGATTACAATATGCATAAACAATAGCGATAAGCATGTAAGATAATTAATACATAGAATTATACCGTCGTCACACTTCCTTTGTTATTCTGCGATCATATCGTCCGCCTAGCTCAACGGTTAGAGCGTCAGACTCTTAATCTGAAGGTAGCGAGTTCGACCCTCGTGGTGGGCTGCGCGTGAGCGCGCCTCCTTTTTGGGGCGTGGTCCGATCTCTTCGAATATTGGTTATAGTCAACCTCCCGTAGCGGTTGGTACCGCGTCCTCGTAATCCCTTTGTCTTTGCGAGGTTGCACGTTCGAGCACGAATTTCCCAGAGCCTTTTCCTTTTCCACGACTCTTTTTGCAACGGTCCCGTGGCGCAAGGTAGTGCGCCGTTGCTGGGTATTCCCCAGTAGACGGAGGTCCTTGTTCGAATCAAGGTCGGATCATGGGCGGTCTTTTCGTGTGATTTTTATTTCCCTCGCCGTTGCCTTAACGCTTTTCGCGGTCCGGTCTCTTTTTACTCGTTCCGGAGGTGCTTGTTCGATTCCAGGTCAGATCGTGCGTTCGACGGCAGGTGTTGGTGTTTTTGGTTGTTCCAGCGATCCGGTGAGTTTCTTTACTGTCGTCCCGGAGCGGGTCCCATGGTGTCCATTTTACTGTTAAGGCCAGGTTCCGGAGTCGACACAAAGTGGAGCCTCACATCTCCTTTTTACTTTTGAAATGCCGAGCGCCCCCGTTCGGCGATCCCCATATAAAAGGCCATCAATTCGAGGTGAGTGATCCCATTCCTTCATGGACGTCTGCGCACTTGGAAGGTTCCACCGCTCCGTTACACGTCTCCCGCTTGACTCGTACGCACTTCCTCCCGGAGGTCTTCGTCACTTTCTCCGCGAGGATTTGCGGTCCAAAATATTCCTGATTTCGCTGGGCGTCTTCGAGGATCGATGGGCTACTCGCACCGTTGCGTCCCTTACCCCTGACGCAGCCTTCAATCTACGCGTCTGCCTCCGTATTGTTGTGGAGCATATGGTACGTTTCCGGCGGCCCTTCGTTTTCCAGCGTAATAACTTCTTTCCAGTATTACGCCGCTCGTCTTCGTCAGAACGAGCTCCGAGGGTGCTATAGTCGATTCAACATGCCCACGGAGGCCAGCTGGATGTTTTATCTACTCGGCGCTCTTCTCCTCGCCGTCGGTTTCGAGGGCGACGATGGTGTCAAGGAACGCGGAATTGGACCTCTGGAGATGGCCTTCTCGGAGGCTGTTTTCCTCCTGCGTTGCAGCTCGGAGACGTTTCTCCTTCACACCGCCATGAATACCCCTCGTCCCTTTGATTACGAGGAATATGACCCTCATCGCACTCTCGACGATTTCTTTCCCCATCGTCGATCACCCTCCACCTTCGCACGTATACCCCTCCAAGACCCTTCTCCAGTCACTTTCAATATTCAAGAACGTCCGGAGTTCTGGAGTGATGCAGGAAGGATAGTCGAATCCACCCTTCTTGCGTTATCTCGCGTCTCGACGGATATTGAAGTCGAGATTTCCACTACGGGGGAAGCGTTGAGCGTGTCGAAGAAGAGCGTCGAAGCCATAGTCTCAGCGATGGTACACCCTTCGCCCCGTTCTGCGGATCTTGCTGAAAAATCCAAAGGGATCCGTTCCTACGTCGCTCCCGGAGTCGGTACTGGGTCTGCTGCGGTCCAGGTTGGTTCCTCCGTGACCAGTTTGCGGGAACTATGGGTTCCGGCGCTCGTTCCTACGAGATTATTTGGGGCGCCCGATTTAGAATAACCTCCGATCCGTTTCTGTATAAAGCCTTCGCGTTTTCCCAATAAATTTTCTTCCTCCAGTACTGCCCTCCGCCTTCCTTTCTGCCATGATTTACAAACCGCTTGCCCTCACTCGCACGTCGTACGGCGTCGTCGAAATTTATGTCATAGTCAACGAATATTGCCACCAGGCCATTCGGTACCACAGCAACAAGACCTCGTCCATCATGGAGCGCGTTATTCGGCCCTCTGTGTACTTGCTGAAGCAGAAGCTCCGTGGTGACGCCTCGGACTGGGTCTCCGCCAAGGATCTTCATCCGGACGAATTATACCTCGTTCGCAACAGCGTCCGGAGCATGATTGACGTCTTGGTAGGCCTTATTCCGCTATATTCCTTTTCTCTTTTACTGATCCTTGCCTCGTTATGCTCTCCCCAGCGTCTTCTCATGGATAGTGGAGCAGCGTCTCCTACTCCGGAGCAGGTTCTAGAAGGGGCGGAGGGAGAGTGTCGATCCGGCGCGATACGCGCGACTTCCCTCCTCTGCCTCCTCGACTTCTATGTCATGCTCCTCGTATACTGCACGGATCCTGAAACCGAACTCCCATTCCCAGCTCACGAGAGTTTAGTCATGGAGGCGGTCCGGATTGCTCGTTCTTGGGATATTTTGGATCCAGCGGTCGATTTCAAGGGTTATGGTCCCCTCTATCGTAGGCAGACCGTATCTATTGGTGTATGAGGCCCCGCCGGACGTCGCGTAGAATATTCGCGACATAGAGCGTTCCATCAGACAGCTTTTGTGCCCTTTTTAGTGATTGTCTGATCTTCGGAGGCTCGATTTTCCTATAAGAATGCCGTGGTTTTTGGAGTCCCCTTCCTCATTCGCTCGATGGATTCCCCAGTCCACAATTCTCCTCCGCGTGCTCCGTCTCCGGAGCTTTCTGATGACGAGGAGCTCAGCGTTTCTTGCCAGGCTTCCCGCGCCTGCATGCATATTGCGCGCCTCGAGATTTCAGAAGAGACGTTCATGCAGCGTGAACACTGGGTCCCTCCGATGCCCATCCAAGAGATTATTCCACGGGTTCTTCGCCCCGCCGTCTACCTTCTTCACCAGGCCCTCGACCCGTATTACATCGGGCGCATTTGCGGACCGTATCACCTATCCCGGACGACGTACGGCATGGTGCGGCGCGCCCTCCGGAAGATGCTAGAGCTTGTGGTACGATCGTGTTCCGCGGAAGCAAATTTCCTTGCTTATTCACCGCCTATTCCCCTTAGTGCCTCATTTCTCTGCAACGGCCGGAGTACCCCTCCTATGTCCAAATCTGGGACGGAGTTATGGATCACAGCGTTATTCCTCCCGAGCCCATTGTTTCGGATCGATCGAAACGCGTCTTTGAAATCCTCTCTGATCTGGTGGATAATTACGGGTTCGAGGGCAGCGAGCGTTGCGAGGCCCTAGAGCTCGAGCATTCCCTCCGGCACCTTTCGAGAGTGTCCTCCTGCTGGGCACTTTTATTGCAGACGCGTGGCGAGTATCCGGAGTACGAAAGATCGGGGCGTATGATGCGTCAGCCCTTGACCACCGGGTGGTGACGTCGATCGCAGAGCTTCCGTGATGGATCTACTACGAACTCCGGCGAGCTGGCCCGTCTTTAACATAGCGAACTGGCTCGTTGTTGCTTTGAATATGAATTTCTTTTCGTGACTTGAATTTTGTGACCGCCGTCGATATGGAGGTTGTCAATTCCCGCCTCTCGAGGCTCTCCGCCCCTTCGCAATTCGCGGTACTCCACAGAGTGTTTCAGCAGCTCGACGCTCGTCCGGCTCCGGGGGAACTATGGCGTCCGAACCTTCCCCTACACCAGTACCTGCTTATCCAGGGCCGTTTACCCCTCTCCACGCTTCATATGCTGGTGGATCCGTTCTACCACCTGCAGCCTTCCTCCGCCGATTTTTCGGAGGCGGATAATATGTCGATCCGTGAAGCCGTGACGACGATCCTCTCCGTCCTCGTGAGTTTCCTTGAACAACCTGGTCCGGACGTGGATTTTCTGACCCCTCCGGCGGCTCTTTATCAGGATCGTGTCGCGTTTTATATCCTTTCCATCGAAGTCAAGCTCAAGGATCATGGTCCGAGCATGCCACGCTACGACATATGCGTCACCAGCGAATGCCTCAACATGCTGAGGATCCTCCGGGTCTTTATTGATGCATTTGGCTTCGCCGGAGACGATAATACCTTCCAGGTCCAGCGCTATCAAGAGGTTCTTGACGCGCTCCGCGTTCGTGCGCAGGGGTCCTTCGACATCCTGGGGACCCCCAAGGAATTTCCCCAGTTCGACGGATGTGGCCGTCTCGTCCGCCCATCAACTCCGGCGTCTTGTTAGCGCGCAGTGATTTCCCTATAAAGGATCCCGGATCCGCTTCGTACTTCCATACTTTCCCTCTTTGTTCTTCGTAGCCTTCTTGATTATGGCACTCAGTTTTGCACTTCTCAAGGACTATCGTCTCGACGAGTCCCCTACTCTTCGCCTCCGGTCCGACTTCGAAGTTGTGTACCTCGACTTCGACTCTGAAATCGAGATGTCGAACTATCTTCGCCGCCCCGTCATGCGCCAATTCTGCCTGGAGGTCCTCCGCCCGCTTCGTGACGTCATTATGGCGCTGCGCGATCGTTTTCGCAATGCGAGCCCGGTCCCGCGTGATTCGCCTTGGATTCGTGGCCAGCTCGGGGCGTATATGATCCATATTGTGAGGACTGCTCCCTCCGGTGGCACCCCTTTGGCTCTCGCTGATGCTTTCCTCGCAGGATAAAATATTTCTCGCCATCGACAGATCGCATCCGGTCGGCCCTTATACTCGCGTACCCACTCCGACGCCCAACAGCATTGCGTATATGATCCAGCTCGTCGAACAATTCGGTTTCATTGGCGACGAATTTAGCTGGGTGGAGGACGACCTGAAGCAGAAGCTCCGGGCGGTGTTTATGCACGCGAATGATACGGTCGCTGCCATGAACGACAGGCTAGAGGACGAGGCCCTCCGCGCTTTGTCTTTCCGGCGTGGTTCCTCGCCGTTGGAGGGATCCTGTGCCGAGCGCTCCATCGAAGTCGAGTCGTTTGAGCTCGACAGACGCGTAGATAGCCTGTCTTTGACTGCTCCGGCGTAGCACTACTCCCAGCGTTTCTTTGTCGCGTAAATTTTGGTTTCCCCAATTTGATCTGCTCGTCCGGGCGTGATGTTACCACCATTTGATCGATGGATTCTCGAGCTTCGCTATAAAGTCGACCGCTCCGGAGCCTAGCTTCTCCGTCTTCCCGGTTTTCCAATGGCTGACGCAGAGCTCGACGCCGTCCGGACCTTTCTCCCGCCCCGTACTGTGCACGAGCTGGCACAAATTCCTGCCTCGCTACAAATTCTCCTCCCCCCGTACCTTCTCCGCGTTCCTCTTATCTCCGCATTCACGCATCCTTCTTATGGTGTCCGCGCGTACTTTTTCGACGTTGTGGGCCCCTACGCCCGCGTCATCAACAAGGGCTTTCCCTCCCGTTCCAGCCAGCCTGTCGATATCTCGCCGGAGACGCGCGATTTCATGCTCCCGCACGTTGGTAATTTGCTCAAGTATCTGGTGCGGCGCTCTTTCATCCGTTCCGCTCCCCCAGGGTAGCTAAGCCG